CCTGGATGAAGAAGCCTGCAGGCCCGCTGAAAAGAGCACCACATACAGAGAGGGTAGTTTGGGAGTTACAGAGTTCCCAATACTCACTCTCTCTCTCTCTCTCTCTCTCTCTCTCTCTCTCTCTCTCTCTCTCTCTCTCTCTCTCTCTCTCTTTCATGAGACCAGAGTGCCCCACAAAGAAGAGATAATGTCCATCAATGCCAAGTCTGTTGAACACAACAGAGGGCCAAAATGTGTGTTCTTATCACTGTGTGGGGTTTTTTTTGCACTTATGAGTGTGTGGGTATGTGTATGTGTTTGAGGAGGGCGTGCTTGACGGTTGAGGGGTACCAAAAAGGATGTCAAATGACAACTAGACCTCCAAAGATGTTATGATGTGTGTGAATACATGTTGATGTGTGTGTGTGTGTGTGTGTGTGTGTGTGTGTGTGTGTGTGTGTGTGTGTGTGTGTGTGTGTGTGTGTGTGTGTGTGTGTGTGTTAACCAAAAATCAATAGGCAGTAGCTGCAGAGGCAAGACATGAACAATCAATAATCAGGCTGCAAGCAGAGGCAGAATAAAAGTCTACACACCCTTGTTCAAATGCCTGTGGATTTTTTGGGGGGGGGGGGGGGGGGGGGTAGATAATAACAGAGAGTGAGTGATGTGACAGAGGAGGAAACAGAAAAAGGAAACAGAGCATTGGTTTCCGATCTGTCTTTTCTCTCAACTTTCGACAACTTTTTGGGATCAGGTGTGTAGTTAATGTCATTAATGTTCAAAGCCAATATCTAACAAGCAGCATTATACTAATGCAGATTTTGATCATCGTCTTCAAAAGTTTCTTTCATGAACTGCTTCACCAATCTCTTTGTTTCCTAAAACTCATCCAAAAAGACATGGCATGCTGATCAATGTGGAGAATGGGTGCTGATAACTCAGCTTATGAATGCTACAAACAAATGTGCCGACACATAACGGAACCATGGTCACGTTTAGCATTAAAAAAAAAAAAAATCTTTGCCGACACCTCTTATGACCACGTACAAATGCTCACGACGTTTTTTTTTTTTTTTGCTACTGTTAGCGAAACAATGGATTGTTCAAAATTTCTTGGGATAAGAAAAATGGTTGGCGACAACTACAAATATTTACGAATATATCGGCTACCTTTTACGAACCTTGATGAAACCCTAAATTCACTCCGCATTCGCTTCTCAGTAAGATACAGGCTTTGGGTAATCATCTCCAAAGTTTTTGTAGCAAATGTTTTTTAAATATCATGTGAAACAGGGTTCAGTCTTCTGAGGGAGAATCTGTCTCTCTTTGAGAGTTTGGACGGAGTAGTTTCAGGATACAAAAGCAGAGAAACAAAAGTCCTGAATCTTATCTCCAGGAGAGACCAAAGCTATAGAAAGAAGAAACAGATCTGATGTCTTGGAACTCAGATGAGCTCCATTGGAACAAAGTAACAACGTAATTTCTTTGTGCTAATTAAAAGACAGTTGTCTGCTTCACCGCATGATGGATGGAGCATCCTAATCTTGCAACTGTTGTTGTGCTCATTTGCACTTAGTTTCACAGTGTTTGATACCTGCAAATGGTGGCTGATAGTCCAAATCTGCAAATCAAGTGAATCACCTATCTGAAAATGTCTTGCCTGGTTACTGAGTTGAGGGGCAGCTAAACAGAGAATTGTCATATTCATGCAACAATGCTGCATTGTCCTGTATAATTTGTCTGGTTCCGTTATTTAGTTGAATCTGTTTGTTGATTATAGAGCTGCGGTTATCGTAATCTGGCCTAAATACTCCAAAGTGGAAATGCAACGTACATCGGAGTTAACTATTAGAGAGTTATAATGTGACAATTTGAAGGGAAGAGTATCACTCATAATTTAATCAATCAACTCTATTTCTGCAACCCCTCAATTGTTATTATTCAGACCTTTTTCTTGAACCCTTCCATCTGGTCTTCACCGTACCAGACGGATTCATACCTTGTCACCACAATGTGGTTCAAATCCCTCTCCACAACATTTACGCTCATGTCCCTTGCAGCAGTGGTGAGCAGCCGAGAAAGCACCCAAACACAGGTGCAAAGACACAGAATGAGCCAGTAGTAAGAAAGGAGGCCAGAGGCTTTTTTGTGGAGAATGACTGGAAAGGCATTCAACCACAGCACCCCAGTACCCGTCCCAGCTGAAGCCTGTCCTCTTGCACAAACGACTGTACATGTGTGTATGATTTAAAAGTACAATGATGAAAAGAATAAGCCTTCACTTTGAGCCAAGATAACTGTCCCTAGTGTGTGAGCTTTACCGCCCCCCCCCCACCCACCATGCACTCTCTCTCACTCTAGTCTGTGTGTATGTGTGTGCGCGTGTGTGTGCGTGTGTCATTGAAAGGTATGGCTGTAGTGTTGTGTTGGCTTGGCTGACTGTCTGCGGTTGTGCAGCGGTGAGAGAGAGTTTTTTTCGGGGGAGCGCAGAGCGGGCGTTTCTGCAGAAATCCCTGAGAAATGTTCCTTTTGGATCCATGTCCTTGCTTACATACCGCCCTCCCGACTGTCTTTCATTGTCCGTTTCATTTCCCCTCTTAAGGTTTCACTTAAAAGTTAAGAAAAGCGGAGTCATAATGCATCACTTGAGCGTTCACTGACGAGATTGGGGCGGCGGTGGGGAGTTGGTGGGGGAGTGTCAACCGGGGACCATGGCATATACGGGCAATGGGGGCCAAGCAGCTTATTTTAAAACAGATGTTTACTGACTGTTCAAGACAGTGTCCTTCAGTCCAATTTCCACTTTATTTAGGTCAGAAAGAATTGCTGTAGTCTTTCTTTCACTCATCCCTGTTAGCGAAACAATGGATTGTTCAAAATTTCTTGGGATAAGAAAAATGGTTGGCGACAACTACAAATATTTACGAATATATCGGCTACCTTTTACGAACCTTGATGAAACCCTAAATTCACTCCGCATTCGCTTCTCAGTAAGATACAGGCTTTGGGTAATCATCTCCAAAGTTTTTGTAGCAAATGTTTTTTAAATATCATGTGAAACAGGGTTCAGTCTTCTGAGGGAGAATCTGTCTCTCTTTGAGAGTTTGGACGGAGTAGTTTCAGGATACAAAAGCAGAGAAACAAAAGTCCTGAATCTTATCTCCAGGAGAGACCAAAGCTATAGAAAGAAGAAACAGATCTGATGTCTTGGAACTCAGATGAGCTCCATTGGAACAAAGTAACAACGTAATTTCTTTGTGCTAATTAAAAGACAGTTGTCTGCTTCACCGCATGATGGATGGAGCATCCTAATCTTGCAACTGTTGTTGTGCTCATTTGCACTTAGTTTCACAGTGTTTGATACCTGCAAATGGTGGCTGATAGTCCAAATCTGCAAATCAAGTGAATCACCTATCTGAAAATGTCTTGCCTGGTTACTGAGTTGAGGGGCAGCTAAACAGAGAATTGTCATATTCATGCAACAATGCTGCATTGTCCTGTATAATTTGTCTGGTTCCGTTATTTAGTTGAATCTGTTTGTTGATTATAGAGCTGCGGTTATCGTAATCTGGCCTAAATACTCCAAAGTGGAAATGCAACGTACATCGGAGTTAACTATTAGAGAGTTATAATGTGACAATTTGAAGGGAAGAGTATCACTCATAATTTAATCAATCAACTCTATTTCTGCAACCCCTCAATTGTTATTATTCAGACCTTTTTCTTGAACCCTTCCATCTGGTCTTCACCGTACCAGACGGATTCATACCTTGTCACCACAATGTGGTTCAAATCCCTCTCCACAACATTTACGCTCATGTCCCTTGCAGCAGTGGTGAGCAGCCGAGAAAGCACCCAAACACAGGTGCAAAGACACAGAATGAGCCAGTAGTAAGAAAGGAGGCCAGAGGCTTTTTTGTGGAGAATGACTGGAAAGGCATTCAACCACAGCACCCCAGTACCCGTCCCAGCTGAAGCCTGTCCTCTTGCACAAACGACTGTACATGTGTGTATGATTTAAAAGTACAATGATGAAAAGAATAAGCCTTCACTTTGAGCCAAGATAACTGTCCCTAGTGTGTGAGCTTTACCGCCCCCCCCCCACCCACCATGCACTCTCTCTCACTCTAGTCTGTGTGTATGTGTGTGCGCGTGTGTGTGCGTGTGTCATTGAAAGGTATGGCTGTAGTGTTGTGTTGGCTTGGCTGACTGTCTGCGGTTGTGCAGCGGTGAGAGAGAGTTTTTTTCGGGGGAGCGCAGAGCGGGCGTTTCTGCAGAAATCCCTGAGAAATGTTCCTTTTGGATCCATGTCCTTGCTTACATACCGCCCTCCCGACTGTCTTTCATTGTCCGTTTCATTTCCCCTCTTAAGGTTTCACTTAAAAGTTAAGAAAAGCGGAGTCATAATGCATCACTTGAGCGTTCACTGACGAGATTGGGGCGGCGGTGGGGAGTTGGTGGGGGAGTGTCAACCGGGGACCATGGCATATACGGGCAATGGGGGCCAAGCAGCTTATTTTAAAACAGATGTTTACTGACTGTTCAAGACAGTGTCCTTCAGTCCAATTTCCACTTTATTTAGGTCAGAAAGAATTGCTGTAGTCTTTCTTTCACTCATCCAACCACCATAACTTGCATTCATTTCTATGGGCATCAATTCAGCCACCCAAATTATGTTAACAAAGGCCAAACACTCCTAATTTGAGCCATTATCTTCCTTGATTCACACCATATTCTTCTTCCTCGAGCTACGTTCCAGCATTCTACAGCCTGATGGATTCTTTTCCATGATCTGTTCAAACGACCATCAATAACAGACAGACATAAATTTCCCCTTGTGTTCCTCACCTGTTGAAAGTGACATTTCTTGTCGCTCATGGCATTGCAACTGGCTAATCCCAATTTGATCCAATAATGTGCTGGAGAGAGCGAGAGGGGGAGAGAGAGAGAGAGAGAGAGAGAGAGAGAGAGAGAGAGAGAGAGAGAGAGAGAGAGAGAGAGAGAGAGAGAGACGAGGAGGGAGGAAGGGAGGATTGATCCGCGTCTGTTAAAATCTTGTTCTGGTTTTCTTAGAGTGAGGTCTGTGCCTGCCGACGTGCCTCTCCCGTGCAGCCCCCTCAACAAGAGCTGTTCATGCTAAGAGTCTGGCGTTTTTTGTTTTTTTTTTAAAAAGAGAGAAACATCTGCACAATAGCAGGAAAGTGGATAAAACCACACAGCTGGCCTCGTTTTTTCTTCCCGTTTTGTCTTTTCTGAAATGTGACTGAAAGAGAGGGGCAGCAAAAGAAGGAGACGAAGAAGAAGAGAGTAGCTGTAGGTTTTGGACTGCGAGTGGAACTGTCAGTGTGATTTTGGGTAACCGTTTGCAGTGTTCAACTTTTTTATTCCTCCGCTAACCTGGCGAGCTCGACCCCTCTCTTCTTGCAACGCGGAGCTGTTTTTTCTCTCTTTCGAAGCGGGGAGACTTTCGTGCTTTCCCCCTGGCGCTTCATAGGAACAGCTTTAACTTTCTAGGTTTAAAAAAATAAATACAACGATCGGATTGCATTTTCCCCCTTCAAACATTTTGGAGGTGATGTCATCGAGCTGTGTTTTGGCTGGTATTGTATCGAGGAGGCGCAGGGAGAAGTGTTGCAGCCAGGCGGCAATCAGCGGCTGAGGGCGGCGGGCAAGTCCGGAAAATCAGGTGCAAAGTGCGGCTGTCATTTCCTCCCCGAGTCCGCCACCCAGTCGCAGCTGCTCCCATACCGCCTCAGCTACCCCCTCCCTCGTCACGTCCCTTCAGCAGACTACTCTGAGCTGGACCGCTGCAGGACCTCAAAGACATTTGTGACGGACACGGTGGTGTCACCGAAGCGTCAGACAAGCGGAGGCATCGCGGGTGAGCCGACATGACCGAAGGTACTTTGCATCACCCTGCGCCCGCAGAGCCTCCCTCTCCCACCTGCTGTGTGCGCGAGCATCATTCTCACGTAGACAAGAACCTCCAACAGTTACTGGACCTACTAAGCCGGGACTGAAGCTCATTTGCCGCTGTCATCTCGGTGCGAACCCAACACCTCCTGCGTGCGTAGTGCACATTCCCACTTACGCACCAGACGGTTGGATTACGCGTGCCATTACGCGCGCGTTGCATCGTTCCACGGGGTTGCTGAGGGTGACCAGTATTTTGGGAGTTTGACAATCTGTAAGTAGAACACGTGATTTCACCTGCTTCGTCCTTTGTCGGGGGCGCGCACCATCTGAGGCTCACCATTTTGCGCCCCCGCCCACTAGCCCCCGGCGTGGACAGCTGTTCGAGGTTGCCCTGCGGTCACAGTGGCCCGGCTACTGCGGCCTCAAACACCAGTTTACCCACGGCCGCTTATTTATTCTCCACGCTGTGGGAACTGGGCCACGCCGTCGCCGATGCCAACTGGATCGGCCGCTCACTCTTTGACTCTGCCTAACATCCACCGGATTTCAACCGCAGAGGCAAACTCTCCGGACTGTCGGACTGGCTCAGGCCGAGCGAGGAGACTGACTCTGGGCCAAGTTCCATAGTGGAGGGGGGAAGCGATGTGGTCCCTTCTTTCCACGCTGACCGTCTTGTAAGTCTGCCTTTTTAATCTCTTTATCGTGCAGAAATCAGATCTCCCTACTCAGTCTCCACCTTGTGTTTAAACTACTTCCAAATAAGCCGAGCAACACATGAAGATGATGGTGGGGTTGCAGTGTCAAACGATTACATCACTCCTCATCAGTCCCAGTGGAAAACATACCAGGAAAGTCCTGTTTTGATTGGCTGACAGTTTGGGGTCACTAGGTCACATTCGGGTCTTGTGTTACTCATAAAAGCTGCCATAAACATCTCCATCACCGTCTACACTTACTTCAGGGATGGCCAAAACTTGCTCGACAATGCTGTTTTCCCATCTGCAGTTTTTTTTTTCCTGCCGAAAATATTTTTGACTCAAGTAACAAACTTTATCTAGTGGGATAGGAACGGGATAAGGTGCCAAAAGCAAATCTGAGGGAGGATGCATACTCAGGGGGCTGTTGCTTGCCCATTCGAGGTGTGTCTTCTTAAAAGCCGAGAGGGATTTATTTTTCTTTTCTTGCATCGGCTCTACTTCTCCCACATGGCAGCCCTCACCAGATACTTCTCATTCCACTCGCAACCTGGGCAGGGTGTGTTTCGTTGCCGCTGCCCGACTTCCACCTCCCTGCCTGCATCCCGCTGTCTCCATTTTACCCACCTAACTGTCTCCTTGACTTGCATGAAACCATTTTTTCCACAGATGCTCGCTGAGATAAAACTTCGAATTAATAACTGATGAATGACGGCGCCTCTGGCAGTATCTGAGGACGAGCAGACCGACTGTTTAGTCTGCTGGTTTTAGTTAAGGTCGACCAAAGCCAATCATCGAGCCATTCATTTCCTTCTTGCCTATCACTTTACCGCAGACATTTATGGATTTATTTCCTCTGCCCAGAAAACACAGTTTCACCATTTTATCAAAGTCTGGTATGCAAACGGAAAAGGTCCTAACCGCAGCAACCTGTTGCTACTCTCTTAAAAGCCGCAGCTCCACTTTGAGGCTTTCTCTAACTATTGTTCCACAGTCAGGCCTGTTCCTGCTGATACCACTCACACACCCACTTGCCTTACCGCCGCCACAGAGGCCCACAGACTAACATCCAACGTGCTGAGGCCCGCTGATGCAGTGTCGGCCTACCGCTCTAACCACTACTACACACAGCTGAAACCACCGTCCTGTATGCTGAGTCCCAGCAGGCCGATCGTGCTCTCTTCACACTGGTGCTCGCTCGTTCGCTCTGAGGCCGGCTCATCTGACCGCAGTCTTATCCCGGTGCATCTGCGGGGACGCAGGTTCATGATGTCAGAACTTTTGCTTGTTTTGGCAGGCAGCCACCGCACACCGGGCTTTCCCTCTCCCCCAATACCTCGGCTATGTCATTGCTGTGGCCAGCCTTTTTTTGCTCCTACTCTGTCCTTTTCTCATCCCTCCCCCGACCCCCGACCGCTCCCCGCTTTCCTCTCGCCTCCGCTCTGTGGCTGGCATAACACGGAGTGTCTGTGGTTTTTGTGGGAGCGGGGAATCCAGTGTCGAGGCACTTTTCCTGCAGTGTCTTCGACGGCAGTGCGGCAATGGTGTTTTAACAGCTGACAGTCCTCACAATGCACAGGGGCTCAGGTTTTTTTGGCAGTGTACGTAAAATGTGAGGGCCAACACAGCATTGCCCTGGACGTCTGTGTCTATTAGAATGACTGAAGAGTCAACATAGCAAAGTATGCGCTGTCAGAAAAGGGGATACAATATGTCTGTGTAATTTCTCAGCCATCCAGGTCATGGTCATCGACTAAGCGTGAGCTGAAGGCAACTGGGTTTAGAAACTCAGAGCCTTTTGGATTAAAGGCGAAACATCTTGAACAACCAAGAAGAATTGAATTTGTTTTGGATTGATTGATGAGTTGTACGGAAGGAGGCATTGCTCTCTCTTTATGTTTTATCTATTCTAATGTACTACAAAGTGCCAATAAATTGACTCTAAGCAAAATCTTTGCACTTTTTCCGAAGCCAGAGCAGTACATGTATTTGCCCAAGTCATGCAAAAGTGTACCAAATGTGTTCCTCCTAGATTAGAGATGCGAGAATATCTCTCTGAATGTTATCCTGTTTTGGTGCCAATGTAAAAATGCACCGAGTAATGTTGCCCTGCGGATCTGGCATAGAGTCGATGTCGGCCTGAGCTAAAGTCATGTTAGACCACAAATCGAGTCGGATTCGCTGGTTGTGGCCAAATAGCCCATTTCGGATTCTTAACAACCAGTTAATTCATGGACAGTATGCAGCGATGGTTGTTTTAAAGTGCTATATACATAAAGTTGAGTTAATCTGTTAATTATTATAGCCGTCACTAGTGCCAACCAGTTACCGTGGCCCTCACGGAGTAAACTTTTTTTCTTAAGAGTGTGTCAAAAAGAGGAGGGGTATGAAGCAAGAGTATGCAATGAGATACATTTGTCAGAGTCCGGCGCTGGTGGTGACTTATGTTGTGATGCGCATGACTTGGAACCTCTTCCCCTTTCTTTCCCGCTATTGATCTTTTTGTCTCCTTCTCATGCCAGACCAGACCACACACTGTGCTTATACAGTCCCGACAGTTCTTTATTCCTACTGAGAGATGCAACCTTTTATAGTCCACCTCCTCTCCCTCTCACGTGAACTTCTGGTTCTATTTCACCTTTTGGTATTCTTTGCCAGCAGCATTCCCTGGCAATTTCTTCTTGCATCACCTTCTCTCAAGCCCTTTGTGTCCCATTCAGACGGTCCCTCCAGCGCTATCTCCCAATCTCAGAAATGGGGCACATGTCTTTGCTTCAGCCCACCTGTCAGCTGCCTGCTCCTCCTGTATACACACATCTGTGTGCATGCCCATGACAGTGCAGAGGAGTCACCTCACTAAGTCCAAACATAAACCGGGAGGCAGGAAAATGATAGGAGAGCGACAAAGAGGTGGAGGAGAGATAAGGAGGGCAACAAGTCAGCGAGAGAGAGTGGAGTAGAGATGGAAGAGGCATGCAGAGATGAGGTGGGGAAAGACAAGATTGGTAGAATTGCTTTTCACTTTCCACGCGTGGCTCTGAAAGTCATCAAGTCACTAATGCAGAGCAGCTCAAAGACGACCAGATTTTGCATAGTACCATTTGAGAGCTTTAAATAACAAAGATAGCTCCAAGGTTTCTGCTCTAATCTTAGATAAATAGAGATATATCTTCATTGAAAAAAGAACCAGCTGTTCCTGTCATGAGTCTCAAATAGTCCAAAGTTGAGGTGTAACACAAATAAGCAGTGTGACGGATGACACGTGACTTGTGCATCACCGTATTATTCCTCCAGAAATGATTTTTTTCCGCACATTTGGTAGCTCATGTTCTCACTTATTCATAGAATCTTGAATTGGTACCACAATCCACTCCTGGCCAAAACCACATCATAGCCCGGTGTGCACCTGTAGTCCAGCCCAGCTGTCTACATATCCACAGCAGCCAAATAAACCGACTCATTGCCTCAGATGTCCCAACCAAAACATTCTATTTGTCTCGGCATGTTTGCCATTCTATGGTCAAGTCGGGTCATTTGGAGGCCAGATTTTGGCATAGCCCGGTCAGAACTTTGGGTTCGGAAAGAAGTCAGGTAGCGTAACTATAAACAGGGCTATGGGTGTTGCCAGTCTGCTGATGCCTGGACATTTGCCTGTCTGTATGTCAAGCTGCTGTGCCAGCCAGCAATGTGAGCAATTGGCCAATAAAGCAAAAAGCTGTTGAACAGAGGGTACCGCGGGCAGGGAGGGGGCCGGGGGATGAATGATGGTGTCATGCTTGACGCTCGCAGATGTCAATGTTTTTTTTTTAACTATTGCTCTGTTTCGACTATTTCCAGATGTATCCAGATGTTGCTGGTGATGTGCAATCCATTACAGGTGAGAAGCATGACAAGGAGGAATTTTACAGTCGTAAAGAGGAGTTGTAGTTTCATGTTGGTACACTTACGTGTTTCCAACAGGTACTCGGTGTGGATGGGGTCAACTTCAGTGTGCATGTGGAGAACCAGACACAGGTGCGAGACACCATGAGTCGACGACACCACCGGGTTTACCAACTCTACAGTCGCACCAGCGGCAAACATGTCCAAGTGCTGGGACGCCGAATCAGTGCCCGGGGAGAAGATGGAGACAAATATGGTAAGATGCACTCACACAAGTACAAAGCGACGGTGGTCAAACAAGTGAATGCATGAACAGATGTAGGCGGCAGCTGTGCATGCCTCCCCAGGCTTTGGCACAGGGCATTGGAGATTGTACAAGGACCTTATCGACTGGTTAGTGACTCGGTGATTCACAAGCGAGCAAAGGATGGAAAGAGGGCGATAGAATAAAGGTGTCTGTGCGAAATAAAGAAAAAAGGTGTGAGTTAGTTAGAGGAGAAGGCTGGTAGGCGGTGTCAGACCTGATGTTAGAAGCCCATCTTCTTCATCGATTTTTCCATTGATTTCTCATCCTCGCTGCGGTCTCCTCTGGATTTAAAACAGCAGGCTTGGCTTCCCCTCCCTGCCTCCCTCCTTCCCTTTCCACTTCCATGCTTTAACACTCCCCGTGTCCATCCCCCATTTCATCCTCCTCTCCACCTTGAAGGTAATTATGCCTGAACCCATTCTTAAACTTCGCGGAATCGATGGGCAGTAGCAAGCCTGGAGTTCATATTTCTTTAGCTGATCCTTTTGATGGTGGTGGTTGTATTGTATCTCTCCACCATTCACAAAAGTGTTACTAACATTCCACCTCGAGCAATACATTGTCAACTGTAAATGTTTCAGAAAGCATTCCAAAGACTAAAAGACATCGGGTATTGTGTCTGAGGCATGCACAGCAATGTACGCGAGCTGAAGGGATATGAGAGGAGAGTTGGGGGTGGGGGGAGAGAAAGGAAGAGGGCAAGAGGGAAGGAGGTATTGATTTCTCTTGACCCCTTTGTTGACTAAGGTCATCTAGGAACCATTTTAGGGATTTATTTTTAACCACGCCTAAGCGCTCTTTGAGAATGGGAAGTGATATTGCCCACAAGGATGAATATATGCTACACTGTATGTGCACAAATTGAGACCCAGTCAAAGGCTTCTCTTGCTCTGCTGCGCATGCTCAAAATCGCCGTTGCCATCTGTTTTGTTTTTATGAGGCCAATTTGTAGGCATCAGCCTCACATCTCAATTGAACTGTCTTATCTTGAAACCATTTATTTGTCTGGAGACGTAGAAGAGACGGAAGGTTCCATTAACGGCATAAAAAAATGTTTGGGCCGTTTACTTATACCTCAGTACCCAAAACAAAAGGAACCAAGAAATGATACAGTATTGCTTGTGTGCTCTGACAATGTCAGTGGACAAAATTGTACCGAAGTGAACGGATTTCTCGAAACAAGGTTGACCGGTACTCTCTTTCTCCAACGCAACTTTGAATCCATTTGCCACTTGCCATTTTCAGTCATGTTTTAAAGCCATGTTTTCTGTTGTTTTCTTTCCATTACCGCCACTTGCAAATTTCTTTGCTGGCCAGTCAAGTGGATGCATTAATTGCAGCTCCATCAATTGGGTCTCAGAAGAGATCACTTATATTCGGTAGGTCTTTTGATAATGAAAGCAACAAAAACAATGGATACCATCCTGAACTGTACTCTCTTCTTGTATAACTGCTTTTTGGAAAAGACGAAAATTGTAGTTGGTCTTGATGGTGTAGTGGTTCATTAGCGTGCCTCCAGTACAGGCAATGCGTATTTACAGTATGTGAAGGTGTGGATGGTTGTCGGGCTCTTCGAGGTGCATCGGAAAAAGTTCAAAGGACTGGTGTTACAAAAGATATATTTCAAAGTTTTCCCCTTCCGAGTAATTCCCATAGAGTCTAACACAATTTCCCCATCTTTTCTGCCACTATTTTATGTACTCTTGGAAAGATTCTCCCGGGATCCTTTGTTGCTCTGTAGTCATGGCCATTTTGATGCCTGAGACACTTTGTTGACCTTCTTTAGCGGGAGGGGAAATCACATGGAGCCAGGTCAGGTGAGCAGGGACATTGCTCCAGCATGGCAAATTTCTTCTCGACCTAGAAGTGCCAAATTCCCAGGGCCTCCTTAGGGCACATCTCCAGCCTCTTCTCGCACACTGAATGAGGCAACCACCGTTAGGATCGCTTGGGTAGATGTGCTGGTTGAATGTCTATCCCACAGTGAAGGGAAAATCTCGGAGTTTGGACTTAAAATATATATTTTGTAACGCTAGCCCTGGAACATTTTTTTGTGACACGCCCTGTCAATGACTCCAGCGACCAGTCCAAGGTGTAGTCACCCATATGGAAGTGGCTGTGTGGATGCGAGTGGGTCTGTTTGATATCACACATGGAATAAAATGTCAGGTAGAGATTCAGTTGACACCCACACATTCCCCTTGTTTTCCTTGGCTCTAATGTCTGTCTGTCCCTCTGTCTGTCCCTTCACAAGCCCAGCTCGTAGTGGAGGCAGACACCTTTGGTAGCCAGGTGAGAATCCGGGGCAAAGAAACCAACTTCTACTTGTGCATGAACCGCCGGGGCAAGCTGGTAGGAAAGGTAAGAATGGCTTTCGTTGACATCACCATGTCCAACACAAAATGATTGTGATACACTGTCCTGATCAGCCTCTCTCTGTTTCTCCTTTCTGCACACGTGGGTGCCCGTGCTTCCTCTTTCCCAGAAGGCCAGTAACAGAAGCGCCGACTGTGTTTTTGTGGAAAAGGTTCTGGAAAACCACTATACAGCTCTGATGTCCGCACGCTACACGGGCTGGTATGTGGGCTTCACAAAAAGAGGGCGCCCTCGCCGCGGGCCCCACACGCTCCCCAACCAGCAGGATGTACACTTCATGAAGCGTTTCCCGCCTGGGGAGCAACCTGACCTCACCACACCATTTCGCTTCACCACCATCAGCAAGAGAGGCAAAAGGGTGCGTGCTACTGGACCTCGCTAACGGCGGCAAACGCCCGAACTCAAGTTGCCTGAAAGCCTTGACCTGAGCCTGCCAATGGCTGAACCAGTCAACCAAAAACCATTCGCATTCCACTGAACAACTCGCTTTGTTGGGCCAAACATTGACTAGAAAACTTGATGAATCATTCATGGGGTTTCTCTTTAAACCAACCTTTTTGCCACTACAGCCCCGTAGTTGCAGAGCATTTCTTTTTTTTCCCCTTCCTGGGACCAACTGGACCCTTGGTGGTCCATCACTGGAAGCGATATGGACCTGGTCTGCTTCCCTTCACAGACCAGAACTATTGACAGAATACCTGAAGGGCGGCCAAAAGAGTCCAAGGCTCACGACTCCACAAAGGCCTTCATTCCACAACCACAAAAAACACATGGCCTTTTAACATCTCCTGCTGTGGACCAGCTGGACAATATCAAGAATGGAATTGCAACTGGCCCATACAGAGAGAGGACAAGGGTGAAAAGGGGTGAGTGGGTGCTCAGTCTAGAGGGAAAAGACTGCAACGTGGACAAAGGGATAGAATGATCTGCACAGATCAAGGACCAATCATGGACTCCTGACATGTGACACACTTGTTCCTCTCAGCGTTAGATCGGTGGGAACCTGTGAGAGTTATTGATGAATGAATGGATCAGTGAGGGAACGGGGCGACGGACTAACTTAACACATGCATGTCTGTAAGAGCAAAAACGAAGAAATGAACGCGTGTTTAGTGCGTGTGTTTGTGCAAGCGCATCAACAACAAGCATGAGGGAAGCGAGATCACGAGGGACTTTGGAGACTCCGACGTCAGGGAGCAACTGGAATGTATAGAACAAATGTACCAAAAAAAAAAAAACAATCAGCCATTAACAGAACACCAAACCAGTGAGCAACCAAAGACACCTGAGGGCCTTCTTCAGGACTCCTCCCTTTTACCATGACCCACAGAGGACACAGCACCCTCTGCTTGGAAGTGCACGGGGCCGATGATGAGCACAGAGGAGGAGCACACGAGGGAAGGTGCCTTCTCTATAAGCATTACTATAGAAACGACCCCCAGGGGATGATGCTCCTGTGCGATACCGTGGACACAGAATGCTGCTACCAGGACATTCAATGCAACAAACCAAAGTCTCATGCGTACGCCCATGAGAACAAATTATTAAAGGGAACAATTTATTGAAAGCTATATATAAAACAGAAACACTAAATAAGCAATCCTACTATGATGGCAAGTATAATTATTATGATAAAATTATTTCATTTATTTATTTCAGCTATGTGTGCAGCAGTCTTTCTTGACTCAGTAAACCTTACAGAACCTTTCCATGTGTCTCTGAAGTGATTTGTCCTCGCATGACACATACACACAACAAAAGGCCCTGTCATTAAGAATAGATTAAGGCTCCTTAAACATGAAGAATCCCACATGAGAAGATCAAAACAAAAAAACAAAAACACAAACAAAAAAGACATCGCCACAATAAAGAAAAGAGTGATGCTTGAATGCGCAGGGCATTCAGAAGGTGTGGCCTGAATAACTGCGCTACTTGTGTGCTGCGAGATTAAAAGATGCAGATTCAAATACATTTACATGAAATCCGGGTGAAAGGGCCAAACTGAAAAGACAGAAACATGAGAGCATCCTACAAGTAAAAAAAAAAAAACTAAGAGAAAAAAAAACTGTTCTGTATACTGGTCGGACAACTTTCACATCTGTGCACTAGTCTAGTACTACAATTGAAGCACTTGCTGTGAAGAAGGAGAATTTTAGAATGCCACGAGTAGTACGAGTGTCACACAGTTGTCAACCAGTGCACAGTTTTTTTCCTCAACTTGTTGGTGTGCTTAGATGACAGAGCTGTCCTACTCGTGAGGACAAAGAGCAAACTCTTCATCCATCCATTTCTAATCGTAACGTAACAGGCTGACTACTACTACGACTACTCCAGTTACTACTGCTAGTATTTATGGTTTTAAACAGATCTAAATATGATGATGTCAAATGTCACTCATTGTCCAATTCAGCAATTTTCATCCAACATTAACTTTTAAATTCGGAAACCGTTGCGCAGTCACTAAAAGCTGCGTGTTGGTTTCTTCCCTACAGTGTGAAGCACCCAGCAAGGAAAACATGCCCTATTGTGTTGGAGTTGATTCTCTTCTCATCTATCCCCCGTCAGCCTCCCCTTCCTTCCATATCATAGCAGGAGGTCATTGAAGAGATGTTGCTGCCAAATGACCCAATCATGCTGGCAGACACAAACAGCTGACTCAGGGGGGAAAGGGGTTGTGCCAGAGGATTCCTATTACAAGACAACAGGAATCGGTGTGGAGGCAGGAGGGCAACGAGGCTGTGGGATAAAGAAGAGCAAGTCAGGGGTGCCGGTGGGCCCATTTGTTCATTTCTGAAACAATGTTCCAGTTGCATTCGGGGAATGATGGAAATATTTTGCGTAGCCAAACCCAAGAGTGGAAGGTGTATGGTCATCACGTTGAGGAAGGAATGTCAAATATTTGTGTGAGAACGGAGCAGTGACCTGAGAGCTGCAGGAATTATGGGCCAAAATCCCACAGACCCAGCGGAAGCCCACACACACACCCATACACGGACGTGATATACCAAGAACATTAAACGCGTCACGCATGTCCACAATTTTAAAGACTCTGAAAAGTGTCAAAACGAGAAACACAACGACATGCAACCTCCATAACAAACCCCAGCCTCTTCACTGCACAATAACACAGCAACGATCTCATACAGCAGTCTTGCTTCATGCGCACTGTTGTATTTATTCAAACATGCATTCTTCTCTAAGTTATACAAGATGGTGTGTGTGGCCTACTGTAACAGGTTGTTTCTGTTTTCACTGTGGGAATCGAGCGAGTTAATATTGCCATCTAGTGGTTATTTTTCCACATTCCAATTCACTCCATGTGCACATTTGGGCAAATACTAGAGATGCAACGGAAAAGTATTCACATTAAATCTGGAGTTTAAGTTGTTTTGAGTGAACGCCATGTTGCATCAATCTAAAGCAAACTTTTCATTGTGATTTGAAATTCTACGAAATTGACTGAACGGATAAGCTCGTACTCGCACATGACAATGGCACGTGTCAAAATATGCATCCTTTCAAAGGTCTTCAAACACCTGTGTTATCTCCAACACAATAACCAAATATAATTCGATTACATAACTTTTCTTTCTTTAACTCAGTAATTTTGGGCTTAATGTAATATCAAAATATGTCACGGATTTTTACTTTAAATTGTGATTTTGAATTATTTTACATTTCTACCATTCTAACAGTGACTAGTAGAAAGGCACAATCAGACTGAACAAGTATTGCCAGCAGAAGAGCCCCCCCCCCCAAAAAAAAAAGAAAAGATTTGTGGCAATGTTTGAGCATGTTCTGATACATCTCCATTTATCTGGTCAGAAACACGACTGAATGCTTTGCAGGTTTTCAAAAACGGCAAAAACTCGTGACTTTTGGTTCATGTTTTCTTTCATGTGGAACGTTTTTGTCACACAACCTAACCAGCATTTTTATCAGCTCTTTTCCAAGGTCTGTTCTCCAAGTTAAAGGTGTTAGCCCAAAATTCTTCAGATTGTCAAATGGTTACTCAGGCCAGCTGAGCCGCTGCCTTCCTGCTTTGTTTTCTCTTCAGTTCATCACTTAAAAGTAATCTTTTCACCTCAGTTTCAGCATAAATGAAATTCTGCAAGTTGAAAAACGTATCCATCTTCCATCCATCCTCTCTCAGCTAGAAAAGACATTTTATTAAGTCTTGTGTTTGCAAATGGAGAGGAGGCAGAGGGCAAATCTGCCCACACTTTCCACCCAAACACACAACAGAACAATAGACACTCATCCGCATTACAGTTGGCTCAACACTCACTGTCAAGTACTTTATTCACAATAAGGTCATTTTCTTCTTTAAAAAATCATTTTAATATACAACACAATTTTTAACAAGACAAATCTGTTTACAACTAAATTTGAATGAATTCCAGCTTCTCTCATAACCAAAGCAAGCTCAAATGTGGAGTGGGAGGAACAGACAAACGAAGTGAAGTTAGAAGAAAGAATGACGAAAGACAGCAAAAAGGGTTGAGACTAGTATGAATTTTGTACTAAGAAACAAAACATACCGAAATAAAATTAGAAAAAAAACCAATTATACAAAAAAAAAAAACACAGTAAGAAAATAAGGGTTAAAGAGAGAAAAATATAGCAGAGGTGTGCCAGGATGCTGTATCCGTAGCAACCTCACATGCATGTCTGACACCTTTGCTCTGTTCTGCCAAGTCCACATAAGCAAGCGTGCTCACACTCACTTTTGTGTGCCGCCATATTCCAAGCTAGTGTGCATTTCGGGGGGGCTGGAAGGGTGGGAACATGAAGCGGGAAGGGATGTATAATGTTGAGAGAGAAACGGTGAGGAGGGAGCGAGAGGGGAGTGTGCACGCGCGCACGCACACACCTCAACCTCATGCAGTCCCTCCGTCTTTCCCATCCTTCTCTCCTTTTTCTGGAGCTGAGTAAAGAGTCTCTTTCTCCTGCGTTACAGCTCCAGCCATCCTCTGTCCAGCTGTGCCACTCTGTGTGCATTTGCATGTATGTATATGTAATATATAAATAGAACTATAAGTAATTCCTTATCTGGAGAGCCTCTTTTGGCAGGGCGTGGAAACTGAAGAGCAGAAGCTTCATAAATTTCGGGGGCAGGGAGAGAAGGGAACCTGTGACTTATATATTGTCTGTTAATACTGTCATTAGTTTACAAAAGATAAATTAGTAGAAGGTGATCTTCCTGGAGAAAGTGGCGTTGGTTCTACTGCCCGGGCATGCTCAGCGCTGGTAGAAAACGGGCACATGTTTAGAGGTCCATTCAGAATTGGGCGGAACGGACGGAAAGGAGGTGCGAGCAGGCTAGGAGGTGGACAGAGAGATGACGAAGAGGAAGGAGAAGAGATGGGCTCCGTTCCATGATTGATGCACCCATCAGCTGAATCAGCCCTGGGCTCCAACAAGACAGGGTGCAGTAGATGGAGCCACCTGTGGGAAAGGAAAAAAAAAAAAAAAACAACAAAAGACTGTTACGGTCTGCTTAGTGAATCCTCACATACTCACGCTTTGGGATTCACAACTCTGCTGAATTCTTTTTTTTGGAACCTAGCTTCAATTTTTACCTAGACAAATTTAATTGTCACACTTTTTCTGCTCAGGCAAGATGGCTTTGGTGCCAAGTCACCATTTGAAGCGCATTTAGGAGCTTCATTTAGACAAAAGTAGTCCCTTGACACCGTCTTGTGGCATCTCTACGATATTACAGTTAAACGTTCTCAGAGGTGGTGGGGGTTGTCAGTTCCTCACTCATTTTTGCTATTCGCAGCAAGTCTCGATCCCTATGCCCCTGCAAATAGCGAGGGTTCACTTTAATTCTTAGTTGTGCATGTTTTAAACTGCTGTAGCCCGCTGAGCAGTATAAAGGCATTTTTCACGCTGAACTGTGCCATCGACCAACCCATTCAATACGGCGCATCCAGTAGAAGAGGTGGTGGGTGAGTGACTGCAGAATGACAACAGCAAAACATTTTGGCGGGTTGTACAGTGAATGGCATGGAGAAAGCAGAGGGGAACAAATAATACAGTGTACCAGTGTCCTTTGACGTACCGTGACGTGAGAAATAGAAGGATCTCCGCGATGCAGAATATACCAAGCTGGTTGAAAGTGATAGAACTGTCATTTTAGCATTCTTAACACTAAAAATGTTAGCCAGGGCTTTCCACTGTAACTTCTAGGAGTGTCTATCTCTCCACAAGAGACTGTTCAATAAGGTTTTTGATACGCGGGGTGCGAAATGATTCAAGGACGGTTTGATTTGAAAGTGGAACGATTCTATTTGGTTCGACTCAGTGGGATTGAGTCGATTCGATATGTACGATTCAATTCTAGAGGGTATGATGCAGGGACTGTTTTGCTGTCATTTTTCAGACATTTGAATAAACTCGTCAGTATCCTAAAAGTGTCTTTCAAAGTTATATCGCTCAAATAAAAGACGATTCAAGAATATATTTCAAAGTGGACCGATTTGGTTCGGTTAAATTTGAAGCACTCACATCTTTCAAATCAAAAAATTAATTTACGGTTCTGCATTGTGAGGTGGACGTGCTAACCAGTCGACCACCGTGAGCCACCTATCAGTAGTGATGCGTTTGTCATGGTACCGTTTCATTTTTTTGCCTTGTCCTGAAGTTATATAAAATAGCTGACCTGTTTTATCAGCTGCTGCTTATTGCAAACAAAATTCTTGTGACACTAAAATATTTTGCAAATATATTTTCAGTCACTGTGTATCTTGACATCATATGAAACTGCAGTATGCCAAGATAATACATCAGCAAATATGGTCATGTTATACCACACCCCAAAAAGGCGCGACCATATCTGTTCTGGTGCGACCAAATCTGTTCTGGTGCGACCAACTGAAAATGTTTGGAGCGCCAGTTCTGCCGGTGCAACAGCTAGCATAGAGCCCTGGGATGAGTTATTTTCCCACAGATAATAAATATCATGTTCTTAAGACCACAAATTTGAGAATGAATTAATAGTGCCTTTGCTTGTGGCCATCAAATAGTAGTATGCAAACCGTTATAAATGGACGCATGTGATGACAGAAAGTCACCTTTCATCCCAACAGATGTGGCAAATTTATTATTGAGATTGATTTCTAACCGTGGGTAGATGGAAAAAAACTGTTCATACTCGGGAGGGCCAGATGCGCGGAGACTTAAGCTAAGCGCACACTGTGGAATCATTCATTGACGAGCACAATTGTATGGAAACATGGAACATTTGAGACACTTGAAATAAATCAGCCGTTAAGTTGCCAGTAATTCTACACTGCAAAAAAAATAATAAAATAAAAATAAAAAACATATTAGTAGAAGTCGTGCGAAGAGCTCTTCTGAATCCAGAAACTTCAAGCTGAGCACATAGTGTGGTAGGCACGTTCATGCATCTTTTCACCAAATCAGCATAAAAACACATTTTTAAGACACAGACTGGAATGCAGGATTTCTTTTGAGACTAGACTCAAGTCATTCATGACCACGTGTGTGCTTGCATACCTGCTATCTAGAAATGTACGTGTAGGTGCGGGAAGGAGACCGTCCCTCTGACTGGCCATTGGTTGAGACGTTCAAAAAGTCCCAGATCAGAATTGTGTCGTCGTGAGAGCTGCTGATGATCTGGAACTCATCAAACTGCAGACGGAACACCCGGCCAGAATGCTCCTACAAAGACAAAGTAGGAGTAACCTTGAAAAAACTAGTCACAGTATATACAGTCCCCTCTAAAAGTATTGGAACAGCAGGGTCAATTGATTTTATACACACACATGCACGAACGCTCAAAAGGTCAGGGATATTTGGCTTTCAATGGGAAATTTCAGGACGAGTCTAAAATGCATTCAAACCTTTACAGGTGAACTTAATGTGACCTACGTTCTCTAAGCTTTTCAATGCACATGTCCAACTGTTTCAGTATGTGTTGCACAAGTTGCTGTTCTCTAACGAGCTGCTTAACAGCAAAATTTACAACAGGCGTTTGATCCTTGAAGCAACCAAGAAAAGTTCTGGTTCAATGAGAGCTGGTATGTAAACAGTCATCCTCATCGCTGTTCACATTTTGACATCATGAAACCAAGACGACACCTAACAATGAATCAACAGTACCTTGCCAGTATGATGTTTTAAACAGGACGTTCTGAGACCTGAGTGGCCACTGAGCTTAGAGTGCCATCAGCGGGTTGCAAAAGAGATATTGAGAGACTGGAAGAGTCATAGAAAGATGTAGAAGTGTACATCCTTTGGCCACATCCCATGCTGATGACCGCTACTTTGTGAACAATGCCCTAAGAAACCGGATGATGAATGCCACTCAACTCCAGGCGCGTTTAAGGGAGGTCAGAGGCACCCAAGTGTCACGTCAGATCATTCGAAACCGTTTACATCAGCGTTGTCTGCATGCCAGACAACCCGCAACGGTACCTGACCACATCACCGAGCACAGGCGTCATCGTCTTGCATGGGCCAGGGAGCATTTACGCCAGATGAGGGACCAGAGGTCCTCACAGTGTGGTGCTCTGATGAAAGTTGATTCCCGCTGAGCAGAAATGATAGCCTCCAACGATGATGGAGACGTCAAGGAGAGCGCTATGCATCAGCCACTGTTGTCACCAGACCAGCTTCTGGTGGTGGCGGTGTTACATTGTGGGCAGGCACGTCCATTCGGCACAGAACTGCCCGACACTTTGTGAATGGTACAGTGACAAGCCCATCCTACCTGAATGACATTATTCATCCAGTTATTGTGCCTTTACATGAACAACACGGGCCAAATTTTATCTTCATGGATGACAACTCTCCAGCTCATCGAGGTTGCATCATTAGGGAATGGCTGTTGTGGACTGGTGTACCACAAATGGAATGACCTGCAGTTTCAGACCTGAATCCTATTAAAAGCCTGTGGGATCAGCCGAGTCACCGTGGAGAAGCTCAAAACTCTGCACCCCAGAACCCCAATGACCTGAGGCCAGCCCTTCAGAAGAGTGCAATGCCATGCCATAGCAGTAATCAGTTGACTTGTGAACAGCATGAGACGGCATTGTCAAGCTGTAATTGGTGCTCAATGGCGCATGACGAGTAGTTGAGATGTTGACATTTTGTATTATGGTGAATCCACCATTGTTGTTGACTTTTCTTTCAATGAATTGTTTTGAGATGCGGAAATCACCAGTGCATCCTTCTACTAAACGCCCCAGCTACACTCAGGAAGATGAGTCAAATCAGCCATCGCGCCTCTCGGCAAGCTGCCGGGAGCAAATTCAAAATAAAAAAGTACCAAAGAATTGATGTCCATATATTATCTGGTAATGTGAGGTTTATGTTGAAGTTGGCCTTTTCACTACATTGGCAGCGTGTTACTGTCATGCATATCATGAGACTTGTTGCTGAAGTTGTCCTGACTACTACTTTGTGATAGACACTGTATTACCACCGTGGTTTCTGTTTACACCACGGATCACTCCGATTACCACTACTGTGGATGTGCGTCACATTTGTCATACAGCCAGTGGCCCTAGTTGTCATCATCCTGTCAGAATATTTTCTGTCAAGTCAGTAGCTGCTGAGGTCTTGCAACACAATATGACTGTCGAACAGAAACCAAACAGCACAGATAATATCTACATGCATCAGGTGTGAACACTCACCACTAAAGTACGCAGACATAGTGTGCTTGCAGGGGCTCGTGGGTCCAAGGCGGCTTGCAAGTCCCACACTTTGATTTTACTGCAGAGCGAAACACGCCACAACAAAACACATAAGTCGTGGGATCCACATAAGAAAGAAGAAAGGAGAAGCAGAGTGCTCGTTGAAGTGGAGTCTTACCCATCGTAAGCGCCACTGACAATCCTCTTGTTGTCAAAGCGGATGCAACGCACCAGTTCTTCATGACCCTCCAGCACTCGCAAACATGCCCCGCACTCAATGTCCCATAACCTGCAAAAGTGATTTAACACATTTAAATGACAAAATTGGATCTGAGCACCACCATTCAAATTCCCCGGGAAATCTTATTTTTTGTTGCAAATCTGTAACCGGCATTTGTGAAAGATTTGTTGTGAGCTGGGATGGACTTGGAAAACTATTTCAAGAGTCCGCTTCAAGCAAAGTGAAAGTAATACAATATTTTGAATGACTTTTGTGAAAACACAAGCAATGTAACCAGTTGATATGTTCACATAATGCAAGATAGCACTGTGTGAACAGAAAACACAAAGGCAGATCAATACAGATGTACCCTTGTTTCCTGTGGTCTGGCAATCGTTTGAAAGGTAATAGCTCAAATGCTAACAGTGGTCATGCTCAGGATGTACGTTAAGTTTTTGATCTTGTTCTCGAAAAAGGAAGTAATCAGTTCATTAAGTGATTGCTTTCGGTTAAGTGCACTCAAAAGATTAGATTATGATTACATACAGCAAGATATCAACCACGGGGGTTACATCTTGCCCTGTGCTCGGGTCCTAATTTGAAAGGGAAACTTTCAAATACAGTGCCGCTCATAATTATAGGCACCCCTGAATAATATTAAAAGCGCTTGAGAATTGAGCAAGCTATGGCTCATGCGCATGCATTGGCTTGGCCTTCTATGACAACAAGCATCAACAACGGCAGAGTGCTAGCATTAGCGTGAGAGTATCTCGTTTTGTTGCGCTCGGATCAAACCTTCGATGGCTGCAAAGAGTTTCAGAATGGACGGCGGTTGCTGGCTGGACTTGTTGACGTTCGTGTTTGATCGCTCCAGTAATGTCAATAGTTTGTCTTACTTCTTTATTTATTCACGTCTTTATGGTGTAGCAGAGCACCATTATCTGACATCATGTCAGATTTCTTCTTCAAGGTTATGTGCCCAGTGTCCAGGTGGAGAAACTCTTAATTGAAACGTAATTAGTTATTTCAAGCGCTCTTATTTTCTTTGACAAATTTTAAAGGACTTATATTTAATACAACTAATAATTAAATTATTCATTTTGTACACAGGAATATACCACCCCTTTAAACCCAAATGGAATTTCATTCCATTTGTTTATTTTGTTTCTTTCTAATTAGAATACAAGCGTAAGTAGTGATCACCTGTGTGTTTAATTCGTCTCGGACATTTGCAACCAGCTGCTTTTACTTGGGAGAAAATAACACTTCCCCCTATTTTTTGACTTGTTAGAAACCAACATGGAAACTGAATTCAAAATTTTTGGTGCATTTTCTCCAGTTTATTTGAAGCAATGTCTTGTTTTTGAATAATAAAAGGATAGAAATTTTCCAAATGTTTTTTTTTAATCTGATTAATCAATTAATTGAAAAAAAATCAACTGCTTAAACGACTTTGCTTGTTTTAAGATTGTCCGATTCCTTGGAATCTCACCCTATCAACAGGACATATTCTCAGATTTTTTTTCCCTCCATGAAAGAAGACTGAGTTTGATCTTAATAAGACATTTGCAAACATCTGCTTTGACTTTGGCAAACAACGATGAACACATCTGCCCATTTTCCTCTTACGAACCAAACCAGTAACTGACTCATAATCAATTTATGTTTGTGTGTTTTCGGTACTGCCAATTGGAAATTATGACCTATTTTTGAATAAAAAGAAGTGAAGTATTTTTTTTCTTCATCTTATTCATGGATAAACGGAAAAAGTAATGGATATATAAACTGAATATTAAAATAATCGTTAGTCACAGCCCTATACCTAAGTACAGGAAATAATGGCAGACCGATACAATTCAACATTGTGCTCTGTCGTCACTAATCTGAAACGGAATAGCTCAAATGCTTAAAATTTTTATGCTGATGGGTCGATGATGTATCACAACCATGTGTCCACAAAACACAAAGGCAGCTGGGTAAAAGTTTTACATGGTGCCCCGTGGTCAGTTATATTTAAGATTTTCCAGTCATATCGTCACCCTCTTAAAATAAATAATGGACTAACTCATATCGTGTGTGTGTGTGTGTGTGTGTGTGTGTGTGTGTGTGTGTGTGTGTGTGTGTTTTATATATATAAATTATTATTTTAGAAAGGTGACAATATGTGAATAATAATACAGACTAGTAATTCGGGGTGAAACAAATTGATTCCAAGATTCCTTCTAATCCAGATGCGAAAGATTGAAGAACCAAATAATTTATAAGGAAATAATACTGGCAACGTGGTCATTACTACTCTTTTTTTTCTTTACACCAGGGGCCCCCAACCTTTTTTGCCCCACGGACCGGTTTATGTCAGACAATATTTTCAGGGACCGGCATTTAAGGTGTGGCGGAAATAATACAACAAAATAATATGGTATGAGCTGCATGAAAACTGTGGTGTTTTTGAAATATAATAATAAACACAAGGAGCGTCTAATCTGGCCGCAACACTCCGATCGCTATGG